TCTTCTGATAGGAAGTCATGCTTCTATCTTGGAATGGTGCAGCAGTCCAACCTCTAAGGTCAAAACCTCCTGAAAACATTAGAGTTTGGGACTCTTTGAACTTGACTACTTCTTCTTCGGTTTCGAAACGAGCTATACAATTGTCGACATAAAAGGATTTTCTCAATCTAAGTGCCGTTCCTCTTAAATATTGTGGAGCATTATTCAAATGGTAGGAAATCATCGCTCCCAACAGGAATGAACTCGAAGAAATGCCGAACACGACACAACAGTGTCTCTAGGTAACAATCTCGGTTTGATTTGAATCTTTCCACCACAGGAATTTCAAAAAGTCTCTGTCTCTAGCACGCAAACTTATTTGTAAGAAATCTTTCCTTATATCGGCAGTAACATTAATTGCATATTGCCGGAATTGCATCAAAAGTTTTGGAAGCATTTCTATTAAATTCGTCTATTTTCGAGGCAAGCATTCAAGGAATTCCCATTTTCATCCTTCAAGGATGCATCGAATACAGGTCGCACTTTCGTAGTCAGACTGGAATTCTTGATGAAATAAATAGTGACCAGTATGACTATTATTCGGAGCTATTTCAGTTATACCTTCCTTTAATAATACCATCATATTCTTCGAAAAATCCCATCTGCTGCAGTCTTCGTGTATTGGCGAAAAGTATTTTTTCCGCTTTATCTTTATTATCTCCAAGAATCCGATGACTATCCTTTCAAGGCAAACAGACTTCATACCTATTACCCTCGATTACTTATTAAAGTATTTTCTAGGAAAAATGTGATCATTTCAGGGTCTGAATGCTCATTAGTCTTCACTTCTATCGGATCTTTTATGGCAATTGTCTCTAAATTCCACAGTTCTCTGAGATCCAAATAGCAAAGTCTGACGGTATTAAGCAAGGTATTATGATTTTGCACCGGGCCTTGTAGTGTCCAACCCAATTTTGTTTCAATGGCAGCAAAGTTTTTGTCAATTGGAATGATATTAATTTAAAAGTCAAACAACAAAAATCAGCGTTATATTTTCAAATTTTCACAGTTTTTGTCATCTTGCAATTGTATGCGTTTCGGAGCCGCAAACGGCTTATTTTTCGCTTCCTTTTTTGCACGTGGTGTAACCGCCATTTTGTGATTGCATTGTGAAAATTTGAAAATATAATGCTGATTTTTGTTGTTTGACTTCTAAATTAATATTTGTTTGGCGTGTTATTGTATCTTGATTGGAATGATATTATGCGTCATCAACTGGCCAGAATAATCGGCTCCTATTAACAATACGATAATAGTTATGCTTCTATCTGGTGCATTTCTACCAGAATCGCTGATTTTGATTTTATGTTCTCGAAGTGAGCAACATATACGTTTGAATTTCACTCTAGGAATGTATCCACAAATTTTGTCTTTATCTAAAAGTTATAATTCGTATTTGAATTTATTTTCCTTACCTTGTATTTCGATATAAAAAATACCATGGACCTGAGATTCAACTCCACCAAACAGATTGTGGCTGAAAGTCTCTTGATCTTATTGGACTAATTCTAGTCTCTTTATTATGTCTTTCCATAAGTAAGATCTTTGTGACCCACTATCAAAACGTGTTCTCACAAGTTCTGTTCTTCTATTATGGACAATCTTCACCATAATAGTTTGGAGAAGAGTTGTTTACAGTTTTTGGTTAGACTCACTCGTTTCGTTAGCTACTTTGTAAGGATCCTAAGTTTTACTAACGTTTATTTTATTTAAAAACTGTACTATCACTTCTTAGTTTCTACTTCCGGCCAGAATTAAATGCTTTAACTTGTTTATGTAAATCGTCTTGCTAACGCCCAAGTACTTAAGTTGTGGCTTTTTGCCAAGGGAGAGAAGGAGTTTTAGGAAGAAAGCCGCTTGCTTCTGTAGTTTTACGAGTTTTCACTCGGTTGCTGGTTGCATTTAAGGCCAGAGGTTTAGCCCTCTTGATATTTGCAGACGTATCGTAGTTTTAGCAGCTCGGCGTACTTCATACGTACCTTTTTTAAATAACGGCCAGTCTTAGTGCTAGGCATTTGTATACTAATTCAAAGTTAGCTTTTAGTTAGAGTTTTAGTTAGTAGTTTTTATATTCTTAAGCTCAGACCACAAGTGGTTGGTCTCTGTATTCCGAAGTTCGGAAATACCTGTAAAGTATTGAAAATAAAGAGTTTCGTATACCCTTCCTGCTTGTGTTGTCTACGTCACACCTTCTTGAACATAGCTTGAGTAAGTTCCCTGTTCCTATTCAGGATCATTCATGTTTCCAAAGCAAATCAAGAGAAACACAAGTCCTGACAACTTTAGTGCTTCTTTTTTCGCAACTTCTAGAACCTTTTAGTTCTCTGCACATCACAGTTACATGACGTTTGTTGCAAAATAGGCAAAGAACTTTTACATTTTTAGGCAGTATGCCCAATTTTAGGCAGTTAAAACAAGCTTTTTTCTTCCTTAGTAAATTTTTCGTATCTTCCAATGAAAGGCTGTGCAGCCTAAAGCACTCATAGGAATTATGTGTTTCCTTGTCGCAAGAAACACAAAAATTAACTTGTTTCTTCTTTGAATCTCCTGCATAAATACAAGTTGCTGTGGCTGGAACCTAGCCAAGTTTGTCTGGAGCAAAAATACTTGTACGGGTCAACTGAAGAGGGTCTTCACTTTCAACTTCAATTCGGAAAAAATACAATAAATTTTCCAAATTTTCAGTGTGTGCAACACTTTTCCTACGCTGGCGAGATCGCTTTCATGCTCTCAGAATTTCTTCAGGTAGTGAAGACTTTACAAGGGGATACAGCATAGCTGCATAAATTTCACTTTTTACCCCCAACGTCTCTAAAGCTCTGAATTGTGTCTCTAACTTATCACATAAATTGGATAGAGTCATAATTCCTTTTTTGCCAGCTTGAGCCAAAATCAACTTTAATAATTCGCAAACATAAGATTTCTACCAGTAATTCGTCGCGTGCAAATTGAGATTTTAGTTGCTTGATAGCTTCCTTCTAATTCGCACCTGAGGGAGAATAACTATCTATGAGCTCTCTCGCTGGGGATCCAACGACAGTTGCCTGCAATAGGTATTGAAATTTGTCATCGTCATTTATACTTACATCATCGTCGATCTTCTTAAACTGTTCCCCAAATCCTAACCAATTTCGGGTCTCCCCATCGAATTTTTGAAGCTCCAAATTTGGTAAATTAAAGTTCCTCTTCGTGGAATTTTCTAAAGTTCCAGGTGTAATTACAGGAGTGGAATTCACCATTCTATTTTCTACTTTTGTTTTTAAACTGATATATTTATCACGATATGTTTCATTCGTCTTAAAATCAGACAAATATTACTTTCGTTTTCCCTTTCCTACAAAAGTTCGGAAATTTGTGATTGAACTTCATCTAATCTGTTGAATTTACCTTCCAATTGCAAGCTCAATACTTGGAGTTGATTAATCTCCACGTCAGGCTTTAGAATTCCAGCATCTAAAGCATTGGCAGTATAATCGTAAACGATTGCCTTAGAGGCTTAGGCTTTTGTAATAAAATTTCCATGATTTCAAATTCAATATATCCAATGATATAATCAAATAAATCATACATAACCCGCAAGACATTGTTGATTTGATTAAACCCTTTTCCTCTCGGGATAATTTTAGCATTGAAACTTTTATTCCTGATATAGAAGACATTTTTAATCTCTACCAAATAACGAAATCTGTTCATCAAAAAATTTTTGTTAAAAAAAGTCTTACAGTTCCAGCTTTAATCAGGTCAATTCGTGGAAATACTAATTGGGAACAATTAAAGCACCATTTATTAGATGAATTTTCGGACAAAATTAATAGCCCTCAATCACATCAAATAATGAAATCTCATCGTATGTAACCATTTGAAACCTTACAAGAATATTTTTTAGCTATGACAGATCTCGCACACAAAGGTTCAATGGATGATTCTTCTTTGATTGAGTATGTCATAAACGGTATTGCTGATTCAAACAACAAAATAATTCATCAAACAACAAAATGATTTTGTACGGCTGTAATTTAAAGAGAAACTGAAGATTTATGAAAAACTCTTTAACAATTCAAAATATACGGAGCAAAATACTCAAAAGAAATTTCCTAATTCCCTTCCCAATGTTAAATTTGATAATAAACGTACACAAGATACGCAACCGCTATGTTATTCCTGTGGTTTAAAAGGACATGAAAGCGTTAATTGTCTAAATAAATCTAATGGCAAATTTTGATATCGCAGCAAACATTATGGTCATATTCATACCCGAACTGTCCCAAAAGTTATAGTAGTTCTACCACGGAATCTGCTCCTAAATGTTCTACATCTGATAGTACTGTAAATGCACTTTCTGCTCAAACGTTTTCTAAAACATCCTATACATGTTGACATTCAGCTTAAAGGAACTCCGTTGACTGTTCCCTATGACACTGGATCACAAGCAACGCTAATTAATGAGAAAATATATCGCAAAATTGGTTCTCCACCATAGCATCCTTTTAGAATTACATTTTCAGGTTGCGAGACACAGATCAAAGTATTAGATTCTTTGAGGACTATATTCAAATTCAAAACACTATTTTACCTGCTAAAATCCATGGAGTAAAAGACTATATGATTCCTCTTGATGCCGTTATTAGAATCGAAATTTTGCAACAGACTCAATTTACATTTGATAAAGACGGTATTCATTTATGCAACAGTGATGATGATCAAATTTTTACTAACGTTGCTAATGTTACTGATGATCAAACATTTCCACCTGATCATTCGCACATCTTGAACTCTGACAATCGTGGGGAAGTTCAACATGTCGTTACTCCTCACAAAGCACATGAAGTTAACACTGCTATGAAAGATTTTCAGGCAATAAAAGAAAATCAAAATATACTTGAAGAAAACAGTCAAGGGAAATGATGATAATGCCCATGACGATTTAGAATTGGATTTAGATGATTATAATTTGGATTTGGATGATCAAAGATGATGATGATACCAATCATGAAGCTCATGACGATGATGCTGATCAAAATGATGTTGATGTTGTCGCAGATGATGACATGGATCAAAATCATGATATTGATGATGACGATGATGACAATCATGAAGATAATGATGCTGCTGATGATGATAACACTCATGAAACTAATGAATATGATGTTAATGCTGTCGATGATGTCAATGAAGATGATGTTGATGACAATGACGAAGATGATGATGACAGTCATGAAGCTAATGATGATGATGTCGATGATGAACAAAGCGTACAGAATAATGAAGAAGCTGTGAAAGATCAACTGAATCAGTTTGAACAAGGATTTGCTGAACAAGCAAAAGAGAAGACACCTGCCAAAAGCGCAGAAACTCCCAAACACAAACTAGAGAAAATACCAACGACTGAAAAATCTCCGAAAACCGAAACGCTTCTCGTTTTATAGAAGACTCTTGATGATGAAGTAAAAGATATTACAGACCTGTCTCTGGAACATTTGCTTAGTGATATCAGTACAGAAGACCTCATCTCTACAGAAGAAATCAAAGTTTTCTCTTCTGATATTTTAGATGTTGCTATGCCGAAAGAAGATACAAAGGAACAGGAATCACGGACATATAATCCAAGGAAACTACTTGTCTCTGACATTCCAGCTGATACTACGATTTCTGAAATTGCCGAACTTTTTCCAAAAGCATCTCAGATAACTCCGAATTTACCCCCTGTCAATCCAGATGCTACCAAAAGTTACATACAGAAAAAACCTGCAGTTGAAGCAACAAAGAATGCTGAAGTACTTGGAAGAAAAATTACTGTTTCCTATTCTTTAGCTACTTCACACCCGAAGAAACAAAACAAAACAAAACAAAAAAAAACAAAAAAAAAAAAAAAAAAAAAAAAAAAAAAAAAAAAAAAAGATCCTGGAAGTATAAACGAAGAAAATTTAAACGGACTTCAAAGAAAATGAAATTGCTGACACAGCAAGATAATGAATACGATGCCTTACATTGAAGTTCAACGGAACATCCTCCGTTTACAGCAAGAAAATATGCGACAGTATAAGAAACGTCGCAAACATGCCTGCAAATACAAACTTGGAGACCAAATGCCAATCCAGCCTGGACTGCAGCTTCGACTGAAACTTAAACTTCGCCCCAAATTCTTCGGTCCTTATGAAACAACAAAAGTTCATCCATCTGATTGTTATGAAGCACGAAAGATACGCCGTGGAGGCCCCATTCTCATGTCAAACCTCTGCTGATAAGATGAAACAGTAGTGCACAAAGTTAACATTCGCCACATGGAGACTAATTTTTTTTCACTTTTTCTGCTTGCGTTTTTTTTTTTCTTTCATTTCAGATCCACCCCCAAGCGAGGATGCCTGGCAGGGCAGGATGGCCGTGTGGTCATCCGCCCTCTGCCTACAACGCCTCCCGACACTCAACATCTGGCAACCTCAGCAGGAGTTAGATCATTCTTCAAGCTGAGAGAGAAAATTCAGAGGATTCCGGAAGATGATGTTAGGATGCTGCGGAGGAATCATCGGTGATGCAACTCGATGTAATTGAAACAAAAGTGATTAAACCGTATCTTTGATGATGTGAACAATATTCTGTGTTTAATTCTTTTGATGTCTTCATCTTACTTCCTTTCACTTTGTACACCATCATCATGTTTATTCTTTCATTATTAAAAAAATCTGATGTGTACACCACATGACTTCCTTGTACGGAATATTAAATTATACGCATTTTTTCTTGCATTTCATTTAAACTTATTGGATTGAATTAAATCTACTTCGCCGGCAGCGCATAAACCACAATAGAATAAATGCATTCTTTAAAATTCACTCTAGTATTTGTTTACCATAGCGACACTCTGGCGCTAGATTCACTTAACAGTATTATAATTCGTTCATATTATAACTCATAATGCACAAAATTCGTATCATTTAAAGAATAGAATTATCTAATCGTTGCCACATGTTCTATTCAAATACTATAATAAAGCTAGAATGATGTATAAAAGAAATTAAGCAAACAAAACAAAAAAGAAACAGTTTTTCAGAGGCGATTGAGTATTCTCATTCAATTAATTCAGTTCTCACTTCGCGAGAAGGCAAAAATACATAAAAACTCAACATATCTATATTAAAAATTACGAAGTAAATCTTAAACACTTATTTCCTCGAAAAAATTTCAGAAAGGATTAAGCATGATTTAAATAATAAATGAAGGCGTTATCTTTGTTATTGCGAAGCTAAGTTTCTTTAGATTGGCAACAAATCCACTAGTCTGCTGTTTCAAATGTAAACAAGCAATGGCCGCCATTAAAACAGGCTTAGCGGCAATTACACAACTTTAAAATTGCTGATAATTCTAAAAATATTGCACACAGATTTACTAAAGGCATAAAATCCTTAACCGGAAGATAAAAACAACATAATACAAGCAAAAAATGTATAATTTACAAACATATGAGAGTAAAGAAACTGAGATCACTGAGCCGGGTAACAGATTGGATATGTATATAAATATATTTATATAAGTTTGGTGCGGCCGATTGCAACCAAAATACGAGGTGCACATCTACATGTTATAGCAGTCCTATATACAAAATTTCAACGTTCTGAGGGTACTCGTTTTGGAGTTATGCGAGATACGTACGTACATACGTTCGTACAGACGCCACGAAAAATTCTTTTCAGAATTCATTTTAAAGCAGTTTTATAATTGAAGGAAAAGAGTATTTTATTCTGTCCTTACGTACAGATATCGCGCAAAAACATCGTTAAATTGCATTCGATAGCTGTCAAAATGGATATTTTCGTTGAAATACTATGCTGCCTGAAACTTTTCGCGATTACAATACTTCCTTTTTACTTCGTACAGGGAAGTAAAAACGATAAAATGTCACTATTTTCTTCGTTATTAATCCCAACTTCATCCTATATATAGGTCTTAAATGTTTTATTGTGGAAAGAATTTGCTTCTTGAATGTATAAAATTCAAAGGTCATCAATGTACATTTGTAATTACATTATCAATTTGCATATGTATACAAAATCTCAGATGAAATATATTATTTATTTAAATTTTAATTACACTAATGATGTTGAGTTAATGTTACTTATTTAAAATTACGCACATTTAAAAATACTTTTTATTTTTAGAACTAAATTTGCCTGTTGAAATACAAAAATTGAGCAGAAGATTGCCTGTGGCCTACAGAACGCCATTTCATTTGCTTAAACAGATGTTCTAGTTCACGGTTATCGAGGAATTGCTATTGGAGGAGTTTTTTGAAACAATTCATGATGATTGAAAGAATTGGTACACAGAATAAATAAATTTATGTCTTCTTATTTGCGATACATTTTATATAAAATTGCTTTTCTTTGCTGGAAATTATTAATAAATATAGTAAATATGGTAGACATAATTATGAACTCCAAGATGAGGAAGAAAGCGTGAAGTTCCAGCACCTAAAATTGAAGATAAAAAGGAAAACATTTAAAAGTATTTCAAAGTAAACAACTCCTAACTTTTAAATGAATAAAAGTACTTTTTCCCCCATTTTCCTTTTTATAATGCTGCATAACATATTTTGTTTAAGTTAAATTTTTGATAGCAAGAAATGCTTTTAAAAATAACCTTTTTAAATGATTCTCTCTGCTCCGTAATCAAATATTCTACTTTGCTATTTAAAGAGTTCAGTTTCTGCTTCATGAAAGATATATCATTTTGCTGTTTATCATCCTGAGAAAAAAAGAACATATTTTAACAACAAATTTTAATAACGAAAATTTTAAATAAAAATTAGCCGTAAACAAGTCAAACAATATAGATTGAGAACGTGTCCAAAAATTTCCTAATTTCTGCATGAAATTAAAAATTGTTCTATTATGTGTAACACATAGCATTAGAATTTTTTTAATAATTAAAATAATTGTAAATGTTTGATTGAATGGAATTGATTCAAATGTTTATAGAGGTTACTCATCAAATGTATAAAATCCAGCGATATAGATGTGATGGAAGATACGTGCATTAGAGATAGTATTAAAAATGAAATAGTTGTGTAAATTATTAAAAGAATAATATTAATAAAAGATTAAAATTTTTGAACATTTATTATGTTATTTGCAAATCTGCGAATTACTGTATCATTTACAAATCTACAAATGGCGTGTCACTTCGACATTTTATAAGAGTTTTTGCACACAACAACATAGATAAATATGTGTATATTACCAGTCGTTCGTTTCAGTAGTTGCGTGTCATCAAGCTCACAAAATCTTAGTCAGTATCATTTCTGGGTGTAGAGCTACTTCTAGAATAACTTTTGTAGTAGCACTGTGGCAGAATTGAGGAACCCTGCTTATGTAAGGCGTCAAAGACCACAATTTATGTTTAAATATCGAGCCCACTTCTTATAACCTTCAACATATGAGAATTCGAAAGCATGTGAATGAATCTACTTGAGAGATGCTTTGCTGAAGGACCGTGAGGGGGAACAAGCTCCTATTCACGTTGGCCACGGACAAAACCACGAAAACACTCATTCACGTTGGCAATGGAAAAAACTACGAAAGCAATGGAGTCAGCTTGTTTGTCATGATACAAACCCGAGTCAAATTTCCAATATTCAGCGGTCTTAGTCATCTGACCAGTGATAGGAGTATAGATATTAAATGTCCAGAAACTGCAACTTGACGGAATGTTGACAAAAATATTGGCATATTAAGTGTAAGCAATTTCTGATATCAAAATATAGCACTGTTGTTAACAGCTCAACTACCTCAAATCAAACAAAAATAAGATACATTTAACTAGACTAATTTTTATTTCTATATTGTATTGCGAAATTTTTTTTCTTTTTCTTTTTCAGTAGCCGAATACTACATTCAGTAGTGGAGAAGGGTGGATTATGATTGTTGCCAGTATTGCAAACTATGTGCGCATTTCTTTAATTAGATTAATTCGAGAAGAGGAATTATGAATGTTGCCTGTATTGTAAACTAAATGCGCACAACGCACACGAAATCCACTTTAAGTAATATAATCATATCCTGCAAATAAAATTCTCTTTAAATGCTGGAAATGAATTCTAATACCAAATATATGTCTTTAAATATTTTTAGCTTAAAAGGGCTTAGCCTCGAAACACGAGTTTGCATTGTTTTACTTTTCATTTGAGTAACGCCATTTGGAAAAATGTAAGATATTATTCTTTCATATGACTGTCTATTCTTAATTAACAAATTAAAATATCTGTAATAAAATAGATGCAGCTCATAAGAATGTTACTTTTTCACATTTTGATCTGATTGATTTAAATAAAATGCATTTAATTCATGATATATCTAATTAAAAACACTAAATATTTTTATAGAATTACATCACATATTATTTAATTTTTTAAGTAGACAGAAGATATGTAACATTCCCATGTTAGTCTAAATGCATATTCATACTTTAAAATAATGTTTCTTATAAAATGTTTTGCTATTCTACCTGGGCCATCTCTATCGATAATTTCTACTGATAAATCATATTATTACGAAATGTCCAGGCGCGGTAAGATAGCTTCCCCTCAAAGCAGGTTCAGGGTTGCCTGAAAATGGTAAGGGATGGCAGGGTTGACACATTTGGGGAGAAATCGCGAATTTGGCGACAATATTGGCGATATGCCATAGAGGGAAAGCCTTCTGAAACCAATTCTTATTGGCTTAGGCCAGATTGTTCTCGAACACAAGCCAAAAAGCTATATAAACCCTGCTGGTACGCGGAGAGTCAGTCAGTGTCTCGTCTAGCGAGTTGATGGTCAGTCAGTGAGCGAGTGTCTCGAAGTCTGGTGCCGAGTTGGTCGTCGAGTACATCGAGAGAGTCTCTTAGTGTACCGCAAGTTAGTGCCTCGTCGAGTTTGATCTTAGAGTGCGCTGAACTCCGAAAACGACTGAACCGAGGAGTCGGGAGCTGTATTCTAGTGTATCGTCGAGTGCATCGCGAGTTGTAGCGTGGAGAGTCTTGAGAGTACGCATAATTCAGAGAACGATCGAGCAAAGTCGAGAGCTGTACTCTGGTGCTTTGACGGGAAGCTAACACCATCGTTATAGCCTGATAGCCCTGAGGCTGTGTTGCTGATTGTTTCAGCGTATTTACAGTAGTTTTTCGACGACTGTAAACGTTATTTTGGAGCTGTCTTGAATAATACTGGACTCGTCGTTATTCACTCCATATCCACGAGCCCCGTACGAACGTAAAGAGAAAAAAAGAACGTAACAATATTATTAAGTTTTAAATAGCGCTTTTGAGCGACCATTAAAATATAAACCCGCTGAGATTAAAAAAAAATCGATTTTCCCCCCCTCTTCCCTTTTGAGTGCAACTTGAAGTAACTGAACCACATATATTGGCAAGCGACTGTAGGCAAGCTCAGAAGTATTTTATGTGTTGTCTTGTGTTGTGTGCCCATAACATAACATAATTCTGCATGCTTTGTGTGGAAAAATAGAGACAAATTCTAAAATGAAAGGGAATTTAAGACTACAGAAATTCTGTAACCCCAAAATTTTGATGGATTATGGACATTCTAGACAGCTACTTTGGCTATTAGATCTTCCTGCAATAGGCATTTTCTTAGGGCTTGCTTGAAAAACATTGTGTACTAGATCGAGATGAATGATCTCAGCATTAAACGTACACATAATGGTTTCCACGTTAAGAGAGTCACAGAATATACTTCAAGCAACTTAGAATAAAAGTGATTATTTGGATGCTTATCGTTCCAGAGTTGGTGAACGTAATTGGAAGTAACCAAGATAGTTAGAGAGATAAAATATTGTTCCTATTCTTTAATTTTATAATAACGTAAATAATAATTTCCATAATAAATCTTAAGTATAGTACTGGCCATCAAAGTTTCTACACCATGAAGGAAAGCAGAGTAGAAAAGTGTATATTTCGTATTTATTTTAGAAATGCATTATAAAAGAAAGATGAAATGATGAAAATTTTAGATAATTTTGAGATGCAAAAATCAGTAATTTAAGCCTTCGCCTCTGCAACAATAGCAGCTGTTATTCTGCTGGACATGGAATCATACTTTATATGATAGTTACGGGTATTGCAGTCCATGCGGCTTCAATTCTATGCCAGAGTTGATCTGTCATCAGAGCCGGATTTATGTATAAGCAACACAAACTACAGCTTTAGGGCCCCCCCCAAAATTAAAATATAGTATAAATAGTATTAAAACTTATTATAACAGACTTCTAAAGCGCCCCATATCTCAAATAGCTCAGAGCCTTACAAGTCTAAATCTGGCTCTGTCTGTTATCCTGGATTGTGGTATTTTAGAGGCAGTCCCTCTGTAGCCATTGAGTAGACGTTTTGAACGATTGATAGATCTGGGGAATATAACCGTCCAAGGCAGAAGTCGAACATCCTTAAGACTGAAAAAACGTACGACAAGTGTAATTTAAAATGTAGCTCTCCAACTGTCATATGCTAATACTTTTTTGAAGGTATAGCGAATGACGCCCCGAAGATAGGCCAGCACGGGTATTAAAATCTTAATAATGTGACTGCGGCCAGTCTAAGTACTGGATGTGCGCACTAGAGGCCAATCGAATGTGTACCCAGCATCAACCCATACCATCAGTCCAAGTGCCGCGTGGAAATTGACATTGAAAGTTGCAAACTTTGAACTTCCGCTTTCTCTCCTTGCCTCCATAAACAGATACCGCTATCACGATACTGTAATAAAGTGGAAGTAGTTAGAAAAGAGCTTTTCACATCACTGATGTGTCCATAACGCATGAAATGGTTTGAACGCACAGTTTCAGGCGTTGGTTTGTCCTGTAAATTTAAGGGAAGCCGAAAAAAGTCGCTTGTTAGATCTACCTTACCTACAGATTTTTTTTTGAGTATTAAACATCCAGTTTGTCGATTCAGGGTACATGATGTGGCTGTATGATTCTTAACGGCGATTCGGACAAGATGTCTGTCGTCTCAGACTTTCACGAGTGGAAGCAATTGAGATCCCGTACGTCGCTCTACGTGCATCTCCTTGAGCCACAGACTGTAAATTCTCATAATACTCGCTTAGTTTTCGTCAAATCAAGCAGCAGCTGCACCGTAAGGGATAATCTGATTACCTGGCTGGATCCAATTCTCAGGTACAGGAGGCATAAATCGACCTCCAACGCAAAAACAGGACAAGTAAATACGATCTACAAATGAAACGATTTAGCGTTTCAGTCTGCTTTTTTGTTATATATACTGCTATAAGGTATTCATAAATTTTGCTTTTAATGTAAACAAGCCATAAAATGCTAACCATTTGCATATTCCACCAAGTTCTATTTTTCTGGCAAATTTCAAGTGTGCTGTACACTTTTTTCACGGTATAACAATTTTAATGGGCAGCAGTATATAATCTTGTTTCTACGGATATCGCATATTCTTTCAGTCTGAAAAAGGTTTAGTCACATTTTAGTTTTAGTAGAAATGTAAAAAAGTAGTATTTTATTTCGTATTTATTATTAAGATTTAATTTTTTCTACAAAGAAAGTTTTAATTATTAAATTGGTCACTGTCTCAAATCCTTTTAAAATCTAATAATGAAAAACTCTTCTTGAAGCAAAATTTCAAAATTACATGATCCAAAATATTTTCAACCAACAAAGCGCCCCATATCTCAAATAGCTCAGAGCCTTACAAGTCTAAATCTGGCTCTGTCTGTTATCCTGGAT